CGTGCGCGCCGCGCTGCGGGACCCCCAGGGCGCAACCCGCGGGGAGGTCGGGGGCTGGTGGCGCAACAGGGCACGAAAACCAAGATTTGAAAACCTGAGGAATTGTATATAGCCAGGTGGCACACGCCCGCCTTGCCTTGCATCGCAGCGTGGTGGCCAAAACCGTTGGTGGTTTCCTGATGTGCTTTCATGCCCTCACCAGAATTTCGCTTCCTTTTTCCACTGCCGTACTTGGTGCAGCAGCCCGGCCGCCAGCCTCACCCGCGGCCCCGCCACCGCAAAGGGTGGGGGGCGAGGGGAGGGGAACGAGCCTGTTGGCGATGACCCTCCCTGGGGCTTGAGTTCCCCTGCTTAAGGTCACCTCTTCCTTTTCTTTATGGGGCTTTGGGTTTGGTGGTTTTTTTGTTGTTTTTTGCCTCTGTCTGTGGAACTGTCAATTGCTTCTCAGCAGGGAATTCTTGCTATTATTTATTCTTGATTACATCAGCCAAGGGTACCTTCACTATTTCTCCTTGACCCCATCCGCTCCATGAGAAGGGACTTTGGAGCAGCAGAATTACTGTCTAAGTGTAATTTTTTTTTTTTTTAAAGCTCTCTGTTGCAAGAGTTAAATATGGGTAGTATTCTGTGCAGACTAACCTCTTGCATCCAGCACTTCTGGCCTCTTCCATTCCTAGGATGCATCTGGTTAGAGCACTGAAGTGTCCAGAACCAACAATATTTCTGGGAATAGCCATGATCTTTCTTTTCCCTTTCATCCCCTGTCCTTAGTTACAAGATCTTACCCCTTAGAGAAAGACAAAGGAAGTTTTTTCACTTGTTCTTATTTGCTGTATATTATATACATTTAAAAACTTTTTCCATCTGGTTTTCAAGAAGTTTGCCTATCTGTGATGATGGAGACCGTTCAGGCAACTCTTAACATACTGTCATATAGAGTGAGCTTTTGCAGAGGAGCTAACATCTATTTTCTTTTCTTTTTTCTAGCTGTCCTCCGGGTTAATCATTGAATTTTCTGATAATGGCACGGATGAGGTTGGTTCAGGTGACTATGGAGACTACGGAGAGCCATGCTTTCAGCATGAGAATGCCGACTTCAACCGGATCTTCTTGCCAACAATCTACTCCATCATCTTCCTAACGGGAATAATCGGCAATGGATTGGTTATTGTTGTTATGGGCTACCAGAAGAAGCAAAGAAGCATGACTGATAAATACAGGCTGCACCTCTCCGTGGCTGACCTCCTTTTCGTCATCACCTTGCCTTTCTGGTCTGTGGATGCGGCCATAAGCTGGTACTTTGGGAATGTTCTGTGTAAGGCGGTTCATGTCATTTACACAGTCAACCTCTATAGCAGTGTCTTGATTTTGGCCTTTATAAGTTTAGATCGTTACCTGGCAATAGTCCATGCTACCAACAGCCAGCGACCACGAAAGCTGCTGGCTGAGAAGGTGGTGTATATAGGCGTATGGCTACCAGCTGTGCTTTTGACAGTGCCCGATATAATTTTTGCCAGTACTAGTGAAGTAGAAGGAAAGTACCTATGTGATCGCATGTACCCTCATGAAAACTGGCTGATTTCTTTCAGATTTCAGCATATCTTGGTGGGACTTGTCTTGCCTGGTCTAATAATCCTGACTTGCTACTGTATTATAATATCTAAGCTGTCACATTCAAAAGGCCACCAGAAGCGCAAAGCCTTGAAGACAACGGTCATCCTCATCCTTGCCTTCTTTGCCTGCTGGCTGCCATATTATATCGGCATCAGCATTGACACGTTCATCTTGCTCGGAGTCATCAGGCATCGTTGCAGCTTGGAGACGATCGTGCATAAGTGGATCTCCATTACCGAAGCTCTGGCATTCTTCCACTGTTGCCTGAATCCCATTCTGTACGCCTTCCTGGGTGCCAAATTCAAAACATCAGCACAAAATGCCTTGACATCAGTTAGCAGAGGATCAAGCCTCAAGATTCTTTCAAAAAGCAAACGTGGGGGACATTCTTCTGTTTCTACAGAGTCCGAGTCTTCCAGTTTCCACTCCAGCTAACGCTGCTCCTTGCCATCGTTTTATAAACAGACACTTTAAAGTTGCGCAAGGTTTCAGAAAAACAAGACTGACCATAATGTACAGATTTATTTACAGTTGGAATTTTATATGGTTTCTTTTAGTCTCTGTGAAGTTTAATTGACTTATTTATATAAAAAAACTTTGGTATTGATGACAAACTGTCTAGGCAGGTCCTGTGGACAAGTGGTTAGTTCACAAGTTTTAGTGCTTGTCTGTATGTATAGATATGTGAACTAAACGCTTCTGGATTGTAGCAAAGTGACTGTTAAAAAAAGTTTAGAAAATATTTCTCTGTTGTTTATATGTAAATGTTTTCAGTGTTGCTGTTAAATTCTTAAAAATTTGGCTGGAGATTTTTACCTGACTACAAGATGTTTGGTTTACAATAGCTTAACTCTGCTGTAGAAATGGCACTTATAACCAAAGCCTCCTCTGTTATATCCTAGGGGTTTTTTCCCCATTCTCAGTAATTGATGGTTTGCAAAATTTTCTGTTTGAGGTAAATAAAAGTATACGACAAAAAGTTATTTTGAGTGGTATTTTTATTTCTGGTTAAATGTTTTAATCAATGCTTTTATTTACAATTCTCAGTGCACAATAATTTCTTTGAAAATTGCATGGTTCTTGTATGAAAAGCAGGAAAATGAGTTTCAGTACATATTGATTATTCACTTGACACCTCTGAGTTCTAAGTCATTTGGTTTTTTTCGCCAGAATACATTTACTGCAGTTAACATTATCTTTAGAATGACTTAAAACTATCACTTTAAAGAAAGAACTTTTTGAGGGCAAAATATCTACCAGTGAAACCCGATCTATTTAAGCAATTGCTAAAGTTTACAGCCTCTTAGGAGTCAAACTAAGATTACCGCATGTGACTAACCATTATACCATGCGTATAAAGTCAACCCTACATTTCTTCTGCCTTTTGCTGTTCTTCTAAATTTAGTTTCACATGTTAGTAGTAATCACAAGTAGTTGAATCAAAGCCATTTTGCTATTTGACATTGTATTTGGACTAGAAATGAAGTTATCGGTGTATCTCCTTTGTGGAAGGTAAGTGTTGTTTCTCTGTGGAGCTTTCCCTATCCTGTCTACATCCAGATTTTCTTAAGATAATATAGAATCTTAACGTTCTTTTTAAAAATCCAGAATGTGTACAAGCTCTTCTTAAAAATATTTTTTAGTAGGAATCAGCCAGACTATAGAATTTTGAATAATTATTGTTGAAATCTTACTTCTCTAAGTTATAACTTTTATCTTGATGTTAGTAGAGTGCATTCAAAAGTAATGAATACCCAAGAGGACAGTCATTGAGAATATCTGTCTGTTCCTACATTAAAAAAACAAACAACTGTTACTGATCTATAAATAATTAACAGTTTGGAACTCAAAAAAGCAAAAAAATAAACGATACCTACTAGTCATACAACTGAAACAAGCAACATGATATTACCCACAAAGAAGATGTTTTCATAAGCACAGCAGCCTAGTGATTTTGTGGAGCATGTACCACTACGCTAAACTATACATTAAATTGCATGTTTTAATTTAGATATTTTCATATATAGAAGACCTTTCTGTTTTCAACTTCCCTCCTCTCCAGTCAGGAGGCTGCAACCTTGGCTGCATCCTGCACACTTTTTCCTTTGCAATGACGGTAGTAGTCATCTGATTCTATGTTGAGCTGATTCAGTTTGCTGAACCAGCACAAAACTAAGCCAGCAGAAAAAAAATAATTTTCCAGCAATTTAGTGAATTGAATGAGTTCAGTGAGGAATCCAACAAGCACTACAAAAGTGCAAGACCTTGTAAGCTGGAGCCAGGCACAGGGAGAGAAAAGTGAGATAAAAGAGTAAGTATGTCCCCCCTTTTAGCAGCTAAACTTTTGGATCAGCTAACTCTAATGTGTATCTTCACTTAACATGAATTAAGAACAGAAAAGATGCATCCTCAAGAAACAAAAGGTCTCACTTTCATCAAGTTGTTCCTTGTTAACAGAGTTGAGAAATGAGGAAAACGTGGTATAGGAGCAGAACTTCTTAAATGGTTTATTTTCGTTGCTCGTTTGTGTGTTTTCTTAATTTAGTGAGGGTTTCCCCGTGAAGAATTCGTTGTTCTAAATGATTCTCATTTTCACCCCAGCCCAATCAATCACTGTGATTTAATTGCACTTATAAAATACTTACTGGCTATCAACACGTTGCTGCTTATTTGTTGAGGAAATGTTTAGAGCCCTCTAGCATTAATTTAGATTATTCCCATTATACTTCCGTCAGCCAACTGTTACCTCAAACAGAGTTAGCAGAAAAGAGGGTGCAAGACAGAATAAACTCAGCAGTCTATGTTAGTGCCAAAGACCTCTAAAAGGACACTGAACAACAAAAAGCATTTGTGTAGAAAATAAATTAGCAAAATTAAAACATAACCCATGCCCCAGAGGGATGAGAGCTACATTAGTTTTACAAAAGTGCTGTGGTTTTAAATAGAATTAGTGAAACTATGGACAGAAGAACATCTTGAAAAGGAGTTGCAAGATCATTGGGGTTTTGCTCCAGTGAGGAAAATGCATCAAAAGCACATGTATTTAGTTTTAAATAACTTTCTATATCTATAAATATGAATATAACAAACATTTGTACTGTTTACAGAGCAAATATTTGCAAATTGAAGGAAGTTGTCATGAGGAAACATAGTAAGGAATTATGAATCCAGTTCTGTCCTTTTACCTCTGAGTAAGTCAGAGAAAATCAGGCAAATTTCTCTCAAAGCCACTGAGCTATTCCAAATATACTATGTTGGTAAAAAATATGAATTTATTCCCGTTTAAAGCAAAATCACCTTTAAGCTGATTTTTGTTGAGACTGTGACTTTTTTACCTCTTTGTGAACCCAAAGTAGTCCCCGTAAATGCAGTGACAAAGGTGGATAGACCTAATTTTGTAATTTACAGATTGGACAAGTCCACATTTCCAAAGTTTTCAATGAGACTTTCCAAGTCTTTTTCCAAATTATTCCTCTCTAGTATACAGAATAATCATAATGACATTCTTCAAGACATACACAGTGCATAGGCTCAGCATTTTCTTGATGTCATAGAATAATAGTTGTGCCCAAGTAATTTCAAACATACAACTCAAGATACAGAACAGAAAACAAATGTGAGTACTGGTAAGTATTGGTTACAAACCAGTTAAAAATGTTACATGGTAATTTAAAAGATTTATTATGTATTTACAAAGACTCTATCCACAGAATTCAGTCACTAAGTATTTTGCCATGGTTGTTACAATGTGCTAACAGCAATGCTGGACTAAAACACGGATATTCACCTAATACTATAATGCACACGTTTTGAGTGCTTAAGATTAGTTAGAAATCCTTTGGATCATGCAAGGCTAAACCGAGAACAGAACATGGACGTGAACGTACTTTTGCTTCCTCTGAAATGCTGGTTGGATTAGAATACTTAAAGCACAGTATTGGAATAGAATACTTAAAGCAGTGGGATAAGATTACACTATAATCCATTATTTGTATGGTATATTTTTACTCTCTCTAAACAGGTTGTACAGAGCCCACATTAGAGGACCATGCGGAAAGATAAGTGGTGGTGGCGAGGGTGTCAGAGCTGATGTATGCAGTGACTAAGGTGGAGTTTCTTGTTTTTTCTTGGCTAGTCTTATGACACAATCATTACACAGGGGGTTCAACTTCTATGCATATACATAAATCAAAACAAAATCACCACGAAAATAAAAAGGAAGTAGCAGTAATAACATGGAGCCATTCATACAAGTGAATGGCCTATCTTGCGATGGTTGAGCTCTAGCTGGACAATGTACAAAGTGACCACCTCTAGATGTTTGGTTGAAAAGGCCATTTTTTATATTGTTTGGGAAAGGAAACAGCATAACGAGGAAGTACTTCCTTGATCCAGGCATGCCTCCAAAATCCCCTAACAATGGAGTATTCTCATATTCTCATAGTGCTGAAACTTAGGAAACACTTAAGCAGATAGGGCACCAGAGTTTTTGCTCAAAGGATGCCACTCCCTCACTTTATGTTTTGAAAGAGCTATACAGACTCTTTTTCACAGCCATAAATCACATGCCAATTGAAATTACATAAGCACTGGGATTATTTCTTAAAAAGAAGGCACAGATTTCTTAAAATCTTTTCTCTTTAGGCAATAAATATTCTGTCACTCTTGATTTTCTCTGAAAATCTTTCATCTTTAACAGGATGAAGTTTAAAGATCATTTGTTTTAACATCAACTCTGTTACTATCTTCCCACCATTCTATTTCTAACAGGACATACAATAAAACAATGCTATTCCTATTGTTTTTGAAAACATATTTTAATAGCAGTTGATTTTAAGCATGCTTTGTGTTTATTTATATATACTTTTAACATGAATGTATCTACATATATATATCAATGTAGATTATAGGCACCATTTTCAATTGTTGATACAAGTGATCCAGGCTCCTGCACAGTTACTACTGACTTCAGAGGCATCAGGATTCATTACAGATGTAGCAGGTATTGATTAAAATTACTATATTCTTAAAAGGATGGGCAAACTCCCACTGAATTCAGAGACAGCAGGGTACCTAAAGAATTATGCTTCCTAAAGTGTATACTGTTATAGCTCAAATCAATTACCAATGAAGATTACAAGTTCCTCTGATTTCAGCTGCAGTCAGAGATCTACAAGAAATTAAATCTTTCAGTATGGAGCAGGTGGAATTGTTCTGCTGAACATAACCAAAATACATTTTCAGCAAAATGGTCTTCTCCTACTGAAGGCACGCAAGCTTTGCATACCCAGCTATCAACAGCCTGACAGTAATTTCTCTTCAGTGGCATAGTTTTTGAAAGAAATAGGTCAACATTTAAAATATCTTTTGAAATTTACACCAGGAACAAATTCTCACCACACAAACATGTCAAACTAGAGTAGGAATTCTGAGGGATTTTTTTCAAGTGTTACATTGTGAAGAGTTCTTTGACTTTTGTTTGGGTTTGGGTTTGGTTTGGATTTTTTTGATGTTGATGCTGCCTTTTGTTTCTACTATCCTTTCTCTTCTCACAGTTTCTATTCTACTTGACTTTTCCTTTAAAAATATACCTTTATAGAATTTTTAATGGCTCTGTTCTGTTAAGACTACACACAATATCCTGGACAAGTAAGAAAAAGTAAAGAGAAACTGTTCAGTTAAAAAATACAGCCTTCACAACAGTTTCTGTGTCTTCTCACATGCATTTCCCTTCCAACATCTGCTTTTCTTTAGCCAAAAGATAAATTACTTCTATATCGTATGAAAAGTTTAACTCAAAGCTTGGTTTTATTCTCAAGTTTCTTAAAGTGCAATCACAGCACACAGTTGTTTACTTTCTTGGTTCTCTCCTATCCAGCACTCTGTAATCCAGCAGATCTCCCAAAGAGAGGTCTGGGTAAGAAAAGCTGAGGGGGCCCGTTACCTGTT